GTGTTCCTTGTCCATCCATGTAATGGAATACCAAATGCCTTCACCCATTTATGACCAGCTTCATTTTTGCCGGAGATGACCCAGTCTCCAGTGACCACCACACCAAAGATAGGTGCCTACCATTCCAATACCAATCCCCTGCTTTAATTCTGGCTGCTTCTTGTCTGGATGGGAGCTCAAAGAGGAATTTGTTGTGTGCTAAATGAGTGATTCTGAGGCTTGTCGTCACCTGCCATCTTGAAAGGAACCATTTCTGGATGACTTCAGGATTGGGGCTGGAGCGGAAAGGATCGTTGAAACAGCCAACCAAGCATTTCGCTAGAAATTGAGAGCTCTCTACAGTTGCTTTACAGGAGGTTTTTCTTTCCTCTAGCTGTGTGGGCCATTTTGTGATTGCTGCAGCAGTCAAGAAGGATCTTTTTTGCAAGTCTGCAATTTCCTTGTACTTGTAGTTAGAGGCTTCCCCCAAAAATGTAATATCTTTCCTGCTATGTCACCCCATCCCCTGTTGTAATCAACATCTGGAATGATGATTGCTTTTTCCCTGTCCCCAACCCATGTTTCGATTCTGAGATATCTGCTATGAATGTTGTAATTTTGATAAACTCTGTAGATGTATGCTTGAATCTTCCTCCCCCATATTCTGTAAAGATTTCCCTAGCCCCATGAAGCTTGCTGCATTTGTTCGCATACCCATCTCAAATTTTCTTCATCGATCTTAATCTGACTAGTGAATCTATGGCCATGCTCAATCTATACGAACCATCGGTCAAGACACTCGCATTCTTAAATAAGTTCGAAAGATTATCTCCTGCAATGAAAAAAGATTTCCCTCCCATAATAAAAAGAAAGTACACCAGAGAAAAGAATCACCGGAAAGAGAAAATTAGAAAGGAATGAATAAAGGCAGCACATTTCCCAGGTCAGAGCTCATGTCTTTCTTCTGAAACTACTTCTGGGCCTAAACTTTATGGACATGCAACTGTATCCTCCCTTCTAAGTCCTTTTACCATACAAGAATTACGATCTAGAGGATAATATCAAGTTTTCATTTATAAGCACTTCAATCAACATTAGAGTTTAAACTGGACAATGCACCACTATGTTCGGGATTTTTTCTATAGCTGGACAACAGCTAGTCTCAACTAGAAGGCATGCGAGATTTGGAACACTTCCCCTTTGGTCATTTGGTGGACAATTTGGACAGAAAGAAACAAAAGAATTTTTGAATGAAAATATCCTTGGCCTTAAACTTAGTTATATTTTCTCGTTAGGTTTTTGGTGCAACTTAGCCTATGTAGATGATGTTGATTCCTTGCTAGATATGATCCGGGAGTTGCACAATATGTAAATTTAGAGGCACTTTCTTAGTGTGGTTCTTTCCATTTATAAGATATACCCTTATCAAAAAAAAATATGACAAATGGCAAGTTACGCGAAACACCAAAATAGTACAATCTAATTGCTGAATTATTGGAGCAAGCCAAGGGAAAAGGCAAGAAGAAAGCATAAATAATTTAACCAAGCAAATGCAATAACATTGACAACATGTACCATCTGAGACGCATGCACAAGATTCTCTGAAATGACAATGGATAAAGGGATCTCCATGGCTATATCTCCAATTCTCATGTCTTGTCTTGCAACGGCTCCCCTTCCCGCTCCCTCAAAATCTGCATCATAAGATACACAAGAGTGAAAGGAAATGAAAATAGTATTTCCACCATTTTCAATCAAGAAGTTAGCTGTTGAAGGAGCTTGTTACAGTTTGTGAGGGACACAATGCCAGGAAATTAACATAGAAAGTCTCAGATTAACCAGTAATGTCTGCATAACTAGTAAGGCTAGGAAAGTATGAGACTGGAAGAGTAGGAGTTTATAGGACTGCATATGGTTGAAATAATGGGAGAAGCATGACGGTTAGGATGTTGTAGAATAACCGGAGGATGGTGCGAGTTTTTGCAATCAAAAACAGAAAAAAAAAAAAAAGAAGAGAAATGTTTTAGCAATGTTGTTAGCAGGGTATCAACATTGGTAAAATACAAATTCGAGAGGCAAAGGATGACAATTGTTGTAGGAGTCTCACCAAAAATTCCACAGGAATAGCCACCAAAGGTAAGCAGCATAAAGCATTATAGAAGCAACAATAGCTTCACCAGAAAGGAATAGAACTGACTCATACTTTCCACCCTTGATTAGATGCAAATAAAGTAATCATTATCTTGTCAGCAAGCGTGTTCTGGATTACTACTTATAAATGTCATCACTAAAAGCAAGATATCATTTTGTCTATTACAAAAGGAAACAAAAGGAGCACGTGCTAATTTGTTTTTGTTTCTTTTATTAACATTGGTGGAGCTTAGGCCAGCTTGAATGCACCTTGACTAATCCACTGAGCAGCCTGTTCAGCCCACAAGCTCATTTTGCCTAGGTAATCCTGCCCACCAAGATTGAAATGGATAGGCTCACATGAAGTGTTCCAAGTTGCTACTCCCATACCTCAACCACAACACGTGTAATTGATACCATGTGCTAATTTGTTTCACTAACATCTTTTATACAAAAAAACAAAAGGAAAAACAAGTTTATGGGCAAAAAAAAATGCTCTTGTAACAAGTTTAACTAGAAGTAGATGGCAAGAGGTTAGGACGAGTAGAGTATGGGCAAGAGGGTCTCCAGGGTGAAGAGGATGAAAGGAATAAGCAAAGAGAGCCCGGCAATGGAAGGCAGCAAGTTAGGGTGCAGAGAGGGAGAGGCAGAAAGTTAGGGGAGGGGCTGCAATAAGTAGTGGCAATGGAGGTAGATTCGCATGGGAGGCTAGGTGTGAAATTGAGTTGGTAGTACTGGGAGGGGATACAATATGACAGGGTAGGAAGAAAAAAGGTTCTAATAATAAGTGAAAATACATTCTCATCTTACAAAATAGGCTTTGTCTTAAAACGTTTACAAATAAATGAAATTAAAACAGCAGCAAATGTTCTTCCTTTATGTGCGAAGTAGTTTCTGACGTCAATGACAAATACAACTCTGAGCAAAAAAGAAGGAAAGTTACAAGAGTCTTTGGTTACACCAACCAAAAGTTCAGAACACAAAATTTCACATAAACAGGGAAGTTACAAATGTAAAGGTAACGCTGAATAGTTGTATAGTTCAGAGATTAAGCTCCAATGCATAGCCCAAAAAGGAATACGAGTTTTCTCTTTTCTTCAGCATTTTCAATCAGGTATGCCAAGAATAAACAAGTTATCTTGACTTTTAGATTAATGGTTAGATAAGAACTTACAAGATATCTCTAATTGTGACTTCACACCTTCGTCCTCACCCCATTGTTGTAAACATTTCTCTTGCTCGCAGCTAGATACAGTAACAACTTTTCTCTCCTCTTTGAAGTTCTTTGCCACCTCAGAGATCAAATTGACAGTTGCAACTCGTAATTCTTGCAATGCAGTTGCTGCAGAATGTTCTCCACCCAACTTCGCAATTGCTGTGAGAATTGAATTCAAAGCTTCCATCTCATTCCTTGGACTATTAAACTCTACCAGATCGGTGACATCTTCTCCACTAAAGTAGAGTTCCAGCTGAACCAAGGACAATTTTTATCAGTGCAGCTCAACCTGGAGATGATTATCATTATGTTGGTGGCAAATGAATGGTTCCTTCTTCTGATAAGTTGTGGCAAGCTGTGTTAATATTCAGAATTGAAATTCTAG